ATTTCAATTGCTTTTTTTTAGAGCTCATGGTAAAATATGTATTTAAAATATTATTGATATTTTTCTTTTGACATACAACATCCATACAGTCAAAACCTGCTATTGTTTTTGGACATACCATTCAAAATATTATAAATTGAGTAATTTATAGATTGAGTCCTTTATGGTCCTGCCTTGACCCTTAATCACAAAAACTTAAATATGCATTATACAAGAACTAAATCTGCCTTTTTCAGGTCTTTCCTTGGGCCTGAAATTTTATCTAAATTATTAATTGGACATTAATTAACTTATCTAGACCATAATTCACTTGATGTCAACGTTAGTCTGAGAAATTTACTGGAATTGGTATTGATAATTTAACATAAAAATGGATAACCAAGACTTCATTATCATAACAACGTCAGTAATGACGACCGAGAATAGCCTAAAATTCAATATCACGGTTCAGAGTGAAGCAATTTGACCAAGCTTTTCAGCATATTTTGTTTTTGTTCTCGTTTTTTTAACTATTATAGCGAGAACTGTCAGCTCTTTCTTTAATCTTTAAACTGAAACATTTTAAGGATCCTGCATTTTTACTTGATAAGAGTTAAAATTTGTTCTAGAAATATTTTAGTTGAATTTTTTGTGAATAAGGCCCATGACCTCTGATTATATTTATAAGCAGATTGAATAGATTAATACAGTTCAGATAATTCTAATGTATAAACATAAATCAGTTCAAAATCATGTATGCATTTGATTAGCTGAATCATGTATGACATTAGCTAAATCATGTATGTATGTATGTATGACATTAGTTAAATCATACAACATTAGCTAAATAATGTATGTACGACACCAGCAAAATCATGTATCTATGACATTAGCTAAATCATGTTTAATTCGACATTAGCTAAGGTAAGGACTGGCATCATGCCATTTGTTGACATAGTAAATCTTAACTTTCTTAAATCTGTTTTACAACATAATTACTTTCTGTACAAAATATTACCAATTTTAATACTACGACATAATAACTTTAATAACAATATTATGTTAAACAATGGTACATTAATATAATAATAATACAACATATAGTAACATTCATAATGCTATCATGTTTTCATAAAGGATGTATTCAATTCATACAGGTACTGAAGTCATTTAAAACTGCTCTTTAAAGTCCGGCCCACATTGATTAAAAAACAATAAACAGAAAACTAAGTGTTTTGTACAAAAACAACCATTTTTAGCTAAACAATAAATGCTGAATAAACAGTTTGTTTATTGCTTATTCTAGGTTCCCACTATCACAATTCGCTCTACGATTGAAATCGTGGCGTAACTGTGGTAATCCTATCATATATTGAGGTCATTCGTAGCAAGTGTGTTGATCATCTCGAAACGTATCTGCACGTAACAGATCATGGACTCAATAGGGACATAGTAACACATCGCATGCCAGTGGGAACCTAGCATTATTGTTTAATGTATTTAAATGAGTTTAAAATTTGACCAATCATATTGATTAGTATCAGTAACAGTTTTTTTTTAAAGAAATTTTAACAAGTTTTAATTGCTAGAGCCTCTTTATGCAAAAAAATGCCTCTGTATGAATAAAATACTTCCCCACATTGTTTTATATTGGAAGCTGATATTATTAAAATGCTGTAGATATTCAATAAGCGTATAAATACAAATATATTATGAATTTAATAAACAGTGCATAAATCTATAAACATGACAAACATATTATATTGGCTATTATTATTATTATGGTCTCATAACATGAGGTATCTACAATTGTCCACAAATAAAATAAATCAGCTATATATGCTTTCCAATAAAACAGTGATTCTCAACCAGTGTGCTGCAGAATTTTGAACGACAGACTAAGCAAATGCAAAAAACCACATGATCCCAATTAAGTATTCACTGGTGTCTACTGATATGTCTACGGTTGTATGCCGTCTGACTTGCAATGTTTTTAGTTTGCAAAATTCAAATATTTTTCATATATATTTAGCCAGACGTGCCACTATTCTTTCATGTGTTCCAAGAAGAGCTGTTGTTAAAAATAAGGTTGAGAACCACTGCGATAAGTCAATCGTTTGTATCAATAACCATATCACAGAATCGGACAGCTTTAATTTCATGGAAAATATGTTTTTCAAAGGGGCCACAACAGACTCTGACTCTAGCGATGTTAAATATTCTACATTTAATAAAATTTTCAAACTGTTTTGTTTATCAAAGATAAATTAGAAAACTGGACCAAGAAACATCTCCAAATTTACAAATATTCTTAATATAATATAAACTACAAAACAAGATGTTAATATTAGAAAAATACTGTACATTTAGCAGAAAGAGAATGTTTACATTGTAGATGTTTATATGACATTTATATAATATAATAAATGATAATTATAGTTATTAAATTAAATGAGCTTAATTTAGAATAACACGCTAGTATATAATCTATATTATTAAAGATGCATTATATAAGAGCTAAATCTGCCTGTTCCACATGTTTTTGATGGCTTCAAATGTTATATAGATTATCATTTGGACAATTATTTAACTTAGACCATTGAATGGCTGAGGTATTGAATGGATTAGACAATGTCTACCATCCCTCAGATAAAGCTTAAAATGGAAAATCTAGCTGCGTTTAGAGCAATATTACTTGACAATCCAGACAATTTAGGCTATTTCTTGTCAAAAAACCATTCATAACTTCGGTCAGAATACAGTAATTTAAGTAAAATTTTCAATATATTCATTTTTCTTTATCTATTTTTTCCCTATTATAGCAAGAACGACCATCTCTTTATCTATATAACGCAAAAATGAAATGATATAATCTTGGTTTTTAGTCCCACCCAATAACTAGACAGCGTCCTGCACCACTGACAAGGGGAAACCACGTCGGAAAATCACAATGAATTTTCTCAACTAAATAACGCATCTTTAATATTAATTGGCAGAGTTAAAAAGTCACCCATTTGTTCTCCACTTCTTACAAAACCTCAATTACTTTTCTGTGGTCGGGTATAAAAAAAGTTCAAAAAATGATTATGGAAATAGAATTTCTAATTTAGAGAGATAAATTTGTTAAAACTTCAACTGGATGAAAATTCTTTCTGATTTTTGAGATTAGTTGATATAAATATATTTTAATTAAATTTTATATGACTCATTGTAAGTATTCAGGCAATAACATTTATCTCAATATCTATCTTTCCAATTTATGTAACTATGTCCTATGAGTTTATATAGTAACTAATTATCTTTGTTAATAATCAGAATAAATAATTGAAAGTGTCATGCAGTCTATAATTCCAGATGTGTAACTATTTAATTTAAAGATACATTATGTAAGATTTAGATAAAGAGCTGTCTGTTCGTGCTATAATAATTCAAAAATAGATAATGAAAAATCAATCTAATTAAAATATAGATCTATATTTCGTTTCGTTTTTTATACTTTCGATGGCCTACACTACATGTAGATCTAACAAGTTATAGTGGGAGTTCACGTTCTATGACGTCAGGTACCAAGCAAATGACATTTGACCTAATTACGTCAGTCATTCGATTAACCAATTAGCGACCGCCGTGTATTTTTTATCTACTTTTGCTTTGTTTTGATTTCTATTGCCGCTAATGTCTACCCACAGTTCCGCGCAAAAAAGGTCAAACGCTCGATTCAACCAACCATTTGATTGGCTGACCCCGCATTTCAAGCAGAACACGAGTTAAATAACAACACTTCCAGATCCAAGTTTAGTAAAGACAACTAAAATCGAAATTTTGAACTATAAAAACGAAACGAAATTGGATCTGTGTTTTAATCAGATTGATGAAAAATGAATATATTTAAAATTTTGGTCAAATTACTTGTTTGTGAGTGAAGTTAACATTCTTTGACATGTTCATAATATAGTCTTGATTGTCAAATCAAATATTTAAAATCTAATATTATTAAAATATAAACAATTCAGAAATTGAAGATCACTCAAGGTTTTGTTAGAGCGATGGATACAAGTACAGAAAACAGAGTTGGTAAGTTGAAGCAAGAACATAAAGTTGGCATTAAAGTTGTCTTCTTGGAATTTTTGTTTGGTTTTAAATAAATGTACATATACCAGTATTATTTACCAGTAAATAGTGTTAACAAATTCTAGATATATATTATATGTACATTTAACCATGTACATAACAAACAATACTATAATATATGACTATAGTTCAGGGTTAAAAAGTATTATTTATTAAACAAAATTTATTTATCTTACAGTGCAAACAAGACACCAGGACTCAGACTGCAATATAGTTACTGCAAGAATTATCTCCCATTATTGATGTTTCGACCTTGTTCATAGTCTGTTTATAATTAATTGCTGGACCATTATGCTGAATTGTAGATGAAAAATTGACACCATGAACAAAATTAATCATGTAACCATATATTTTTTTTTAAAACATTCGATCCATTGACGGCCGACATTGCTTCTTTTTTCTTTCTTTTAAAATTCATTTTCACAAGAGTTTTCTGGTAGAAAAAGTTTTTAAATTATTTGCAAGAAATTTAATTTCCAAATACTCAATTTGTTTAGACACTGTTGCATATTCTGAGCCAACTAGAAATCATGCTATGGACCAAGCCTAAAAAAACACTATGGAAACAATGCATTTATGATATAATTGCCAAAAAACCCTTTTGGGAATAACGTATACGTGAGATAATTGCCGATAAAACCTTTTGGGAATAGCCTTTTTGTGAGATAATTGCCAGAAAACTCTTCTGAGGCAAAGCTTCTTTGGGTAATAATTACTGACAAAATTAATGGTAATGCGCTGTTTAGTGGGAATAACTATAAAAGTTTCTAACATTACATCTAAATTTATATCAATTTAGTTTAGATACTGCTGCACAACTTGAAATCATGGTATGAACTATGAACTCTACCTAAAACACCACTATGGAAACAATGTATCGGGGGGGGGGGGGGGGGGGGTGAAGCATATTTGGGTAAAAATTATATACATAATTAAAGGTAATGCAGGTGTAATTAACAATATATCTACATGTGTCTATATAAAATCTATAATACCACTGTAGCCTATTATGGCTGTGAAACAAGATATGTAAAAATATATTGAGCAACAAATAACAATGATATGTATATAACACATTAGCAATATCAGACGAGTCCATTCTTTTTTCGGTACATTTCTATCTGCCAAGGTGAAAGTGGTTGACCTTCACTGTCATACTTTGGTATATCTTTTACATCTTCTGCTTTTGTTTTTTGGGCCATGGCTTCCTCTTTAGCTCTGTAAAATATTCATAAAGAATTATATAAGTCAAGAATAAAGAACTCTATAGATATAGTAGTGGTTAGATCCAACCATAAGAAATGGTTTGAGACAGTTGTGATTGCTTTTGGACTGTGTTGAGCATGCCCATGGATACAGACTATTATTAAATAAAGTTTGGTTAATTAGATGCAGTTATAACCTGGAGGAATGTCTTCCTTCAATTCTTGTATCAAATTAAAGTCCTCATTAATTAAATCTGGCTTTAAGTTATTGCTTGTCAGGTGTGCTCACTAATGGGACTAACAAGTAAAGTATTCATAGTAATATAACCTATGTACATATTGGCCTGCACATACCATTTCCCAGTTGGAATTCAAATTGGAGTAAGTAGATATACCTCTCGAATTGTACACATATACATGTATATGAAATATATCACATATCATAGTCTCAAACTAAACAAAGTATTGTGTTCATTCCATTTCAATTTCATGGATCATCTGTATTGAGCCCAAGAATGTCTAAAATCAAAGATTCTATTGGGATCATGGGAGTGGGCACTTGAAATATATGCATAATTGATGTCTATTTTTTTCATTGAAAGTTGAATGCATATTCTATTTGGTCTATTTGGTCAGTTATCTTAAACCACATTTTTAGCTACCCTTGGATCATCCCATCATTCATTATAAATCAGGTGTGTCATATATAAAAATCTGTATTAAATCTGTCATGTTTGGTATAGAATGCATATACTACTATCAACTGATCCAAAGGAAAGCAAACGAAAATGTCTTCTTTCCCAACTGGGCTAATGAAGACGGACATATGCCATACAGTGTGCCATGATGGAAATTTTGCCCTGACAGCGGCGCTATGGCCTGCTCTTATATTGAATTCCAACTGCCAAGGGTTCTTTTACGTGCATGCCAATGTGTAAACAGGACCTTGGTTTTCCATCCCATTCAAATAACTATACATTTTCACTTGCCAGGCCCTCAGCCCTGCACCACTGACATGGGGGGAAACACAGGACCTCCTGGTTACCAAGCCAGTGTCATACTCACCGAGCCACCACGGCTCCCTTCAAAAGGAAAGACTGCCTGACAAAATCAGTAGGAAACATAAGAACACAGAACATGCGATGTCAATATGTAAATTCAATCACTCAGAATAGCACATATTTTAATAAATCTATTAAAAAACCACTACAATATCACAGTGAAAGCGGACATTAAATAAAGATATTTCACACACAAAATTAAATAAACTACTAACTAATAAATACCATAAAGCTAAGCATACAGATATATATATATACATACAAATACTATAGGGAGGGATATAAATGGTTGAAAATCAAAGTCTTTGGAAGTGCTACAAATGAAATGGGGTTTAATGTCCTTCTGTTCTGGGAGTGCTACAAAACAAAGAAGAAAACTTGAATTGCACACTACATGAAGTGGCAAATCTCACCTTTTCTCTGCATCTTTTTTTTCCATCATTGCCCGTTTCCATGCTGGTACATTCGCAAAGCGAGCTTCACTCTCTGCTACCTATTGCACACAGTCAGGGTTAATATTATAAAGCATTAGGCATATATAGATAAATATTTATAACTGAAAAAGGCAGCCATACAACCTACTATCAAATTAACTGTATCATCAATATGTCCAGCTTAATAACGTGTGTTATTGCATTGATTTTGTACCAAATAGTACACATATGGCTGCCTTTTGAACATCTTGGTCTTCCCCCTCGATCTACTATTGAAGTATCAGGCTATAACTGCAGGTGGGGTCAATCCAGGTATTGACTTCAAAATTTTTTTTAGAATTATGCCAGTTTTTAAAATATAACTGTATTTATGGTGTGTTATGGTTAAATTCTTTGAAATTTTTTGGCAGATTAATTGACTGGCAAGTAGATTTGCGTGACGGAAAATTTCACTACCAGTCAGTGAAAACTGGCAAATGTGCCTGAAACACGAGCTTTGGGTCAAATTACATTTTCAACTAATTAATACAAACTGCTGTGATGGTGAGACCAAGATGTATTTTGTAAGGTAGAATAAATATTGTGCACACTATATAATAAAAGTTTATATTAGTCAGTACTTATCATTATCTACCTGTTGTTCACTATGTCTTGGATGAGACGAATCCTTATGGCATGCAAATTGTTTAAAGATATTTTTGGCACAGCCTATCTCTCATGCCTAATAAAATTGTATTAGAAAATAAAAACAGTTCATGTAGCCTTTATAGGTAATACAGAATATAATTTTGATATTACCTAATTTCTTTGTGCAGGTGTGGCAAAATATGAGTGTGTGCACAGAAGCATACAGGTTGGAAGGAACAGAGCAGACCAGCACGGATCACCAAAGTTCTAATGCCTCTTTCACATGATGTGATCACCACAGCCATAATGTAACAGTTGGGTATTAATAATAAGTTACTGACTATGGATATACGAGATACAAGTTATATATACTCAGCCAAATTAAAAACTTGACACTGATGAATTTCAACAAATTTTTTTTTCTGGTAAGTCAAATAAATTTTAAAGATAGTAAGTAGTAAGAAGCCTTTAATTTCATAAAATTGTAAAGTCACGTGGATCACGTGACTTTTGAGCATATAAAGATGAAAAATCTGAAAAACACGTGCAAACACAAACTTGTGAGGTCAATCGATGCAAGTTTGCTTAAACTGAACATGCACACGTAACTTGAACTGGAAAAACAAATTAAAATTGTTATTTTCATCTTTGTTAGAAAATGCCGCGCCTTTCAAATGTAGAACGTCTACGTGCTGTAAGTAGGCTCTATGCTGGTCAGTCTGTGGTCACTGTTGCAAGAGCCTTTAATTGTTCACGCCAGACAATAATTAATCTTAGAATGAGAGTGCTTCAAACTGGAACTATTGCCGACCGCCCAAGGGCGGGAGCGCCACGTGTGACGTCACTCCAGGAAGATCAAGCAATACGATTACGTCATCTTAGAAACAGATTTGTCACTGCAACCTCCACAAGTAGAGAGATGTTTGGTGGAAGGGTAACTGCACAAACTGTTCGAAATCGCTTGCAGGCTGCTGGTCTTCGAGCTCGGAAGCCCTATAATGGACCAATATTGACACCTCTTCATCGCCGTAACTGACTTGTGTGGGGCACAAGACACATAAGATTTACTCAAAGACAGTGGAATTCGGTTGTCTTTAGTGACGAATCTCGATTCACTTTGAGATTTGCCGATGGCAGGGCCCGAGTGTACCGCAGACGAGGTGAACGTTACGCTCAAGTATGCGTCAGAGAAGTTGACTGATTTGGTGGGGGCAGCGTCATGGTTTGGGGTTCTTTTTGTGCACATGGACGTTCTCCTCTTGTTGTTGTCCAAGGGAACTTAAATGCTGTCCAGTACAGGGATCAGATTTTGCAACCTGTTCTTCTTCCGTTTATGCAGAGACATGGGCCTGGACTAACGTTTCAACAAGACAATGCTCGACCCCATACAGCAATTGCTACCCAGAATTTTTAAAGAAATGCTGGTGTCCAAGTCCTGGATTGGCCGTCACTTAGCCCCGACCCTAATCCTATTGAACACATCTGGGACGAACTGGGTCGACGTGTTCGTCAGCAAGTGAATCCACCACTGACGTTGCAGGACCTTCAACATGCTCTTGCTGAGCAGTGGCGACGTCTTCCTCGGGTAGTGTTAACTAATGTTCTGAGATCCATGAGAAGACGTTGTGTGGCAGTACGAGGCGCTAGAGGAGGCCACAACCGTTACTAAACACTTTATTCCGATTGTTCTCCAAGTCTGTGAATTTCATTTTGGGGGGTACTGTGACATCACAAACGTTATCAATGTCAAGGACTTTCGGCGAGACTTATTCTTGCTTTCTGTTGATGTCAAGGTCGTCTGTACACAACATAACACTAAAATAGTTGCCTTAAACCAAATATTAAAAATCTAGTCCCAAAAATCCTGAGTGTCAAGTTTTTAATTTGGCTGAGTATATATACTGTAGAACATGAAATCATGCCAAACATCAAACAATTTAATGATACACAACAAAGATCAAATCCTGTAGATTATAACATCATATTCATGCAATTATTTTCTTAATCAATGTTCATTTCTTTTCCATGTTTCACAGTAAGTATTTACTGATGATAATATGTATGTCCTGGATTTTCATGAATGTTTGATTGCATTCTTACGAGAAATTGATGTTGGATTTTCATTGAAGTTATCTGCATCATTAATTAGCACTAAGTTTGACATATTAGTTAATCAGAATAATATCAAGATGCAATTACCTTCATGTTTAATAGTATGTCAGATAGATATGTGGAACAAAAATTTGGTATAATGTGTTATTTGTGTTAAAAAGCATGAAATCTGACAGACTCATAGATCTTGACATACGGATCATTTTAAGAGTTGGCGTGATTATAACTGCTGAGAATGATATTTTCTAACTAATTTTGATACTATTCGATGAGAAACGTAATCTGCACCGTCTTTTATTTCAATATATTATACCCCATTTACTAATATTTATAAACTTTATAAATTTTATACAGTTTGAAATTTCTAGTGAAAGAGGTCAGTAAGGTATATAACCTAATTCACAGATAATATCTGTCTTTTGTTGAAATAGTTCTAGTTCAGTAAATGTAGACTTGTTTCATTCCATTTCATTAAGTTAGCCACTGAATATAAACATTTATTTTACTTAGGATACACCAAATTGATTTTCTGTTGTTCAGGAATATCTGTTTGAATTTTCCTTTTTATTTCTTTATGAAAAAGAATTAGTTAAAAGCCAAAGGTATTCATTTGTACTGTTCAAAAGCTTTTAGTTCCAAATTTTTAAGTTTTCAAGGCCCCAAAGAACTTTTTTTTAGAAATAGAGTTTAACGTCCACTCAACACAAACTAGGTCATTTCTGGACTAACACATGGTTCAATTTTATTTCAATAATTGCTTGCGCGTAGGGGTCTTTAGCAGTGGCAGGACACCGGATGACCCGGAGAAAACCCACGAGTTTGGACAGCGACCCTACTCCTTATCATGTACAACCGGGGAATCGAAACCCTGCCAGTTGACTCAATGACAGACCGTATGATTCTATATATATTTGGGGGGTTGGATGGCTGAATGGTTAGCACGAGCGCGCTTTATCACGAAGCCTGTCATTGAATCAACTGGTGTGGTTTCGAATCCCCGGTTGTACGTGACAAGGAGTAGGGTCGCCTGTCCAACCTCGTGGGTTTTCTCCAGGTCCTCTGGTTTCCTCCCACTGCTAAAGACCCCTACGCGCAAGCCAATTATTGAAATAAAATTAAACCATATGTTAGTCCCGAAATGACCTAGTTTGTGTCGAGTGGAACATAAACCCCATTTCTCTCTCTCTCTCTATATATATATTTCATGACACTGACAATGATACGAAAAAAACAAGACCCTTTTAAAACCAATTCAGCTCTAAATTAAAACAATTCACAGAAAAAAATCTCCATAGAAGACGACAGATGAGCAGCTTGTTATCTCTTCGACACATAGACTAAAAACTACAAATATTTTTTTTTTCTTTTAAATATTTACAGTTCAGCAAATCTATTATTTCAATAGCATAAATTTTATTCCAACATCTTTTGAATTTTGAACAAAATATTAAACAATTATATATTTACAATAGTGTGTAATAATATGTTCAAAACAAAGAAAATTTATGTAGAAACAAAGGAATTTAGTGTTCAGATATTTTCTTTTAACACGAATCAGTGACCACGAAATCTTAACTTGACATGTATGTAACATGTCTATTTCAGCACCAACTCTAAAATCATCAGCATCTCAGCATCTTTATTTGGATCAAATTTCATGCTTCTAACACATCAGCACACTAAACTAATTAATCTAATTATCTATTCTTTAATGTTTGTATATCTAGAAAAACGATAAACTACAGAAAGCAAGATAGATAATTGTATATTAAGAAATATAAACTAAAACTAACTGTGTATACAACAAGTTTGATGTAACATTGGAATGAGAGTCTCTTAACTGACTTGAAATCAGCCTTTATTCTTAGATATGGTGTACTAAACATAATAGTAGAGATACAAATTTGGGAGGTAAATAATTCTGCTATTTTACCAATGCAGTCAAGCTTCAAAGTGAACCACAAGCAAGTATTTATATTCTATTTACTAACCTTCTGTTTCTCTAAGGCATCTGTCATGGCTTTTTGTGCCAAGTTTTTAGCGAGGACCTGTCGGCGCCAATCAGGTATTTGAACACCAGAAGAGTCAACTGTTGGTACCTGATCTAAGAAATTCTTGGGATCAAATTCTCCTGTTAAATTTCCAGATTTCTAAGTGAACAAAAATTACAAAAAACAAGGTAAGTAAAATCAATGTACTTACTAGGCCATGTCATACCACTTTCTTTTTTCAAAACTGATCACTGCTTCTATGAAACAATTACTGTATATAACATCATCTTATAGAAATAATTGCTATTTATTATAATGTTACCATATCTTGGACATGTACTCAAAATAATCACTAAAAATTATAATTGCTTAACCCTTTAGCACAAATAGTGGGGCGGTTAAGCAAAAAATCGTGCACTTTGGGTTAAAAGCATGAAACTTGGCACATAGATGGCATCAACCCTACTGATTATTTTGGGATGTGGATCCACCTCAGCAGCTCCCCCTGGTGGTCGTTACGGCCATCTTTTCCAAAATTGGCCGCCTATTCATTGATATACATATAACTAGGGGTGTCACAATAAGGCATTTTTTTACAAATCATTTCAGGCCAGCTATTTCCAGATGCAAAATTTTTGAAAAAAGATTTATCTATGACGTCATTTTCGTTTGGGGTTTGCCTGATTTAAAAAATGGCCGCCAAAATTTGAAGAAAAATGAATTTCCAGATAGAATGGGTGATTATCATGCAATGTATGCCTTGTAATATATCAAATATAAGGTTTTTGTTGTAATTGAACTGAAAAATAATCTCTAAAACTAGTTTCCCCAAATCCAAGATGGCGGAAATTCAAAATGGCGGCCAAAATATACCCAAAATGGCGGATTGATGAGATTAAAGTCATTTCACTGTTTGATTTGGTTTGTTATATATAATTTAAAGGGTTTACATTGTCACTGAACTTAAAATTAATCTAAATAAAAAAATAGTTTCCAAAATCCAAGATGGTGGAAATTCAAAATGGCAACCAACATTTATCTAAAATGGCCGATTTGTCAGATAAAAGTCATTTATTTCACTCTTTGATATGGTTTGTAATATGTTATATAAAGAGTTTTCAAAGTCATTGAAATTAAAATCAATCTAAAAAAAAAAGAGTTTCCAAAATCTAAAATGGCGGAAATTCAAAATGGCGGCCAGAATTTTCCAATAATGATAAAATTTTAGGATAATCAGCAATTTTCTGTTTGATATGGCTTGTAACATGTCCTCTATTAAGTTTTCAGAGTCACTGAATTTGATAATTGTAGATGATTGTTTCAGAAAAAAGAGACATTCGCCAATCTTTCTATTGGATTGGTTTATAATAGCAAAGTGTAATAGTTTTTTTAGGGCAACTGAAATTGACTGGACTTTGATGATTCATTTTACACTTTTCACTGGTTCAGAATACTTATGCCCGGAAACCGTTTGTGGTATCATCTAGACAGATGGATTCATACTTGTCAGTCATGTATTTCACAATGTGAAAAGTGTAAAATGAATCATCAAAAGTTGCCGGACTTTGATGATTCATTTTACACTTTTCACTTTGTGAAATACATGACTGACAAGTATGAATCCATCTGTCTATATGATACCACAATATCTGGTTATTCCGACCCTCCACCCCCACCCCATAACAATACAAAGGGGCCAACTGAGGCATTTTAATTTCATCTCCTTTATCTTTGCACCATTTTACTGGAGTGAGAATCATTTATGGTATTTGCAGTTGTAAAGAATTTAAGTTTTCCTATTCGTTCAGAAATGGTAATGTGATCCGTTTTTGCATCGGAAGATCTGTGTCCAGTAACTTTTGTGGTAGAGTCTAGATGTGGTATCCACATTTACTAGTCGTAAATGCATTTCAAATTATTTTCGTGATGATTATTTTTAAACTGAGAACTTGGGGTGCAATACATTAGAGCAAAAATGATCTGTGGATACCATATTTAGACTTTGATGATTCATTTTACACTTTTCACATTGTGAAATACATGACTGACAAGTATGAATCCATCTGTCTAGATGATACCACAAACGGTTTCCGGACATAAGTATTCTGAACCAGTGAAAAGTGTAAAATGAATCATCAAAGTCGGTCAACTTTTGTCGTATAGTCTAAATATGGTATCCACAGATCATTTTCTTCTGTAATGTATCGCACACCAAGTTCTAAGTTTAAAAATAATCATCACAAAAATAATTTGAAATGCATTTACGACTAGTATAGGTATCCCCCAAAAAGTCACCCCCCACGATTTCCTCTTTTCTAATGTGTTGTTCTTACATGTAGAACTTGTTGTGAAATACGTCACTGACGAAAATTACCTGTGGATACCACATCTAGACTCTACCACAAAAGTTACTGGACACAGAGTCTTCGATGCAAAAACGGATCACATTACCATTTCTGAAGGAATAAGGGAACTTAAATTCTTAACAACTGCATATACCATAAATGATTCTCACTCCGGTAAAATGGTGCAAAGACAAAGGAGATGAAATTAAAAATGCCTCAGTTGGCCCCGTTGTATTGTTATGGGATAGGGGTGGAGGGTCGGACTAACCAGATATTTTCTACAAAGAATGTGTTAATTCTTAACATTATCAATATCATTCGCATCATTTGTTTTAATGCATAAAACAATTAAACTACATTTATTGTGTCTTAAGGTTAAATTCTTTGAAATTCTAATTAGCTGACTGGTAAGTTCTGCACATGGTTAATTGACTGACGGGTAGATTCCTGAGTCCGGTCAATTTCAGTTGCCCTTGAAAAACTATTACACTTTGCTATTATAAACCTATCCAATAGAAAGATTGGTGATTGCCCCTTTTTTTCTGAAACAATTATCTACAATTATCAAATTCACTGACTCTGAAAACTTAATAGAGGACATATTATGAGGCATATCAAACAGAAAATTCACGATTATCCTAAAGTTTGATCATTATTGGCAAATTCTGTCCTCCATTTTGAATTTCCGCCATCTTAGATTTTGGAAACTTTTTTTTTTTTAGTTTGATTTTAAGTTCAATGACTTTGAAAACTCTTTATATTACATATTACAAACCATATCATAGAGTGAAATGACTTTTATCTGAAAAATAGGCCATTTTAGATAAATGTAGGTTGCCATTTTGAATTTCCGCCATCTTGGATTTTGGAAACTATTTTTTTATTTAGATTAATTTTAAGTTCAGTGACAATGTAAACCCTTTAAATTATATATTACAAACCAAATCAAACTGTGAAATGACTTTAATCTGATCAATTGGCCATTTTGGGTATATTTTGGCCGCCATTTTGAATTTCCGCCATCTTGGATTTGGGGAAACTAGTTTTAGAGATTATTTTTCAGTTCAATTACAACAAAAACCTTATATTTGATATATTACAAGGCACACATTGCGTGATAATCACCCATCCTATCTGGAAATTCATTTTTGAAATCAGGCAAACCTCAAACGAAAATGACGTCATAGATAAATCGTTTTTCAAAAATCGAGTTCAGCTAGCAATTTCGCATCTGGAAATTGCTGACCTGAAATGATTTGTAAAAAAATGTCTTATTGTGACACCCCTAGTTATATGTATATCAATGAATAGGCAGCCATTTTTGAAAAGATGGCCGTAACGACCACCAGGGGGAGCTGCTGAGGTGGATCCACATCCCAAAATAATCAGTAGGGTTGATGCCATCTATGTGCCAAGTTTCATGCTTTTAACCCAAAATGCATGATTCTACCAAAAATTCTTCCTTAACCGCCCCCACTAAAAGTAATGTTCCCTCATGTGCCACAAAACCCCTGAATCACATAAATTACTCTGAACTATTTAAAAACTGTATACTCATATTTGTGGGTGGTTTGAAAGGGTCTACAGACTACAGAGCAGTAGTTTTGAAAATGAGCTATAAAACTCCGTGTTAAAATCATCAGTTTTCTCTGATTATTTCTGGAGATTGGGGTAGTATATATTTACGTGTAATCAGGCTAAGCTAAAGGATTAAAAATGATCCGTATTTAATTTCAAAATTTTTGATGTATCAAGGGAGACAACTAATAAAATTAATGTGTCAGGGGAGATAACTTACTCGATTAGTTTCAGATTTTTGAGAAGCCTTTGAACTTTTTCCACCAAAAGAAAACACACAGTTCATTTCTCCACCAGATTTTGGAGGTTTTGATTTTCTAAGTGAAGAACTTCCACCAGATCGCAATATTTCTGTGGCGATATCTGGGAACGGTCCGTTACCATGGTGTTGTGGTGGTGGTGAACTGTAATTATTATTCTGTATATCTCTCACTGGTTTACTGAAAAATTAAAAAATCCTTTGATATAAATATAAAGATTAAAATCTTAGTATCCCATCCAATATTTTATCAATAAACTGGGATAGTAAAGACAGATATGGCTATGAATGCAACATACATATTATTTCACAAATCAGATTTATGTAGGATAAATAATTCAGTATAGAATTTTCTCTGAAAGGCATGGAACAATAACAAAATCATTTCAATATAAAAGAGCAGTATTAATCTAAGCAGGATGATCTTAAATGTTTATATATATTTTACTTATCAATTTGTGCATGCAGACCTTAAAGATCTTATTTCTTTCAATTTAACTTCAAACAAAAACAATTCTCATAAATAAGAAACTTGTACCCAAAGTATAAAATGCATATTTAGGCCACAATAATAAACCATTTGTTTGCCGTATATATTGGTTTTGATAAATTAAAACATTTAATATTATTTCAGAAATCATAAACATTGTTAGGAAACAAGCAAACAAAGTAATTATTATGACCAAATGGTGAGAAAAAAGAATGATACTGTAAAGAAATAAATTAATGGTTCCAGTTTATTAATCTAAAAACAATCAAGATATCAAGTGTCGTTAAATTCATGCCATAGAACAATTTTCAATCTAGTCATATCTTAGATCACAATAGGTCATTTCAAATAAATTTATTGCTTTACAGTAACTAGAACATCCATTGTAGGAAAACCATCAAGGCTTTCCTGCTTCTCATCACCTCTAGTTTCTAATCATTGTCATACAGCTTTCAAAAATAGCACAAATAATAATAATATTGAACTTTTTCTAGAGTGCTCAACATCCAGTCCGTTTGACTGCTCTGTATCCCTTTAATTAATAAATGAATATTCATAACATGAAAGGAATACCTTCAACCAATCAAAGTGTTTGATTAGATTTAAATTAGCAGACATATTAGTTATCGAGTCAAAAAATTAGTATAAATTATAAGATTGTTAGGAACCCAGAGGTGATGTGTGAATAAAGTTAGTGTTTTTTTATAATCTATATAGTATTAGAAACCATGCACCATATAGATGTAGCATACCTGTTTTTTATATTGCTATTCCCATCTGTCACCATATTACTGTTATCTATGGATGGTGGGGGTGGGGGTGGGGGTGGAAAACTTGTGGCTGTTTTACTTGGTGAAGACTGTAAGGAATCCGGGGGAGTAGGAGGGGGAGGAAGTGGTGGGGAAGAGGGTGCATCTAAAGTATCATTATCCGATCCTGATATGGATATCCTAGCAATATTAGCATCTCTGGGATCAGACTGAACAACTTGTCCGTTAGTTAAATGATTTTGATCGTAATTTGAACCAATATGGTTGATTTTAACATTATTTTTACTAATATTAATCACTGACTTATTAACTCCATGATCCTCAACTATATCTACTTCATTTTGATTGATTACATCATTTCCGTTCTCCATGTTTTTGTAATAGACTGGAATTATCTCCCCGCTTTCTTCACAACTATCAAACCCTTGACTGTATGTTCGTGATCTCTCGTAAGATTCTCGTTGAACTTTCTTGCTTTTTTTCGATTGCTCCTTAATATGAAACACTTTGTTACTGCCAGATGAGTGTGAAGATATGTTACTATCTATTGAAGAACGAGCACCGTTACGCGATGAAGAAGGAATTGTGGGTAAATAGTTATAATGCGAAGCAGAATCCAAGTTTTTGATATTATTACAGGATGTGGAAGGCAGACTATTAACCGTTGACTTTTTAACAGATACACACTCTTTTTGTCCTGTTTCTGCCAAATCTTTCTGTCCTGTATGAACGTCTACTAAAACTACAATAAAATAAAATAAAATAAAACAGATTAGTAAACAATGCATGTAAGGAAAAAAAACACAAAAAAACAATGTATGTATATAAGAAAAAGAAAAAAAAACACTAATGTATATAAGGAAAGAAAAAAAAACAAACAATGTATATAAGGAAACTAATAGATGTTCTACACTTAAAGCGGCTTGGAAATGAAATGGGGTTTAACATCCTACTGTTCTGCTCCTACTGGGCTAATGAAGACGGGCATACACCATGCGCGGTCTATTTATTGTTATCATTAACACAAAATGACAATTAAGGAAGTGTGCGAAAAAGTCTTTATACAATAGATAATCTTGTATCTGATGGACCTGTATCATTATATAGCAAGTGATAATTAATTAATTAGCATACCTCTGTGTTGTTTTCCTGCAGGCTTCGGTTCAAAATGGCCAAAGTCTGATTCACTTGAAACAGCTATATAAAAAAAAGAAACATTCAATTGATATAAAATGTCTCGTCTCATTCATGTTACCCAGAAAATAACACACATACATGCATATTTCACTAAAATCAGATCTGTTGTAACCAGTGCAATTTCACTAAATACAGATTTGTAACAGATTCGAACAGAGCTAGAGTGCAAAATTTATGATCTAAAATGAGACAGAGTCACATATGATATACCAGTACCTATATCATTGAATGGTACACTGATATCAAGGCTCTCATCTTCATCAGTCAATATCCCATGCATTATTGTTTATCTCAGATTGTAAGACATTACTTTGAAAGAATTTATAGCATTGCCCAATTTGTAAATCAATTTTAAAGATTATTAATCTAATTGTATTTATTTACTTTGAAAGATTATGACAATTTATAGCATTGCCCAATTTGTAAATTAATTTTTATGTGATTTTATTACACATAAAAATAATAAATCTAATTGTATTTATTGTCTTTGAATCTGAGGTTTATTCTTTGAAATAACAAAATTCCCTGCCAGTCTGACCAAGACCCCTAAATGTGCGTGAAACGAGAGACCTGGTTGATATATATCATTATACGGAATAGTATTGTTGTATTGTGTACTGCTAAGTCTTAGCTGATTAAGAAATAAAAAAGAATTAAAAAGAATATTTACTTGACAGGAGAGAAACGGGTCGGAATAAAACTGGTTTCTGAAAGGCAGCAGGTTGTTGTGTGTCTTTAGCAATAGGCTCTTGTTTCGAAGGTAGGTTTTTAGATTTGATAGGAATAGGATCAGCCCTGACAGGATCAGGCTAAGAAAAAAAACATTGAAGAAAAATGAAATAATAAAAAGATAATGAAGATAGACATACACCATGCAGTGTGCTATATGGGAAATTTTGCTCTTATTAACAGTCAGAGGATCTTTCATGTAGGCTACTGCTACAATGGCATATTCAAGACCTCATTTTTTTGTACGATTCGAACAACAAGATTTCTAAAGAGGCTAGAAAATCCTGAGAAACTCTTTTGTAAACCAATGTAAGAAACCACATCGTTTTAAGAGATGAGACTAGTGACAGATGGAAACCATTGGTTCAGAATGATTTATATCAGGTCAACTAAGTATGGATTTATGCTTCATTGTAAATATCTTCCTATTCTGCCACTGATCTCCTAATTGTGAGAGTTCAATGATTTACAAATCTGATGTATATACCCTGCCTCAAGCAATACATCACTTAAAGCTATGATTTTTTGGAGATAATAATTCTCAGCTACATGTATGTAAAAGAAATGTATAATTGTCCTAAAGTAAATTGACCTTAATATCACAACTATCTCATAGACAAACTGAGGTAAATATTCAATTAATTACAAAAACCTTTCAAAGATAAACTGATGTAAATATTTAATTAAATGGACCATAATTACACCCCACTCTCATAGATAAACTGAGGTAAATCCTCAATTAAATGAACCTAAATTACAAAAAACCCTCATAGATAAACTGAGAAGTAAATATTCAATTAAACGGACCTTAATTATACAACCTTTTCGTAGACGCTAATGTTCAAAGAAATTATCAAATTTGATTTTACCTGATTTACTGGAACAACTTCTCCTTTAAGTAAAGCAACACACTGATGTTGTTGACATTTAATTCCCAGTTCTAGTGCTGTTAATCCCTGATTATCTGTTATATCTTTATCACATCCATTCTCTAGTAAAACTTCTACACACTGAAAAACATAAAACAAATTAACTTATTAATAATTAATCTTAATACTTGTCCGGTCTTTCCACACAGTTAATGACATGTCTCTTACAATGACGCCCTCTAGACAGCAATGTGCACAATGATGCCTTTTAGGCAACAATACCAAGAGAGATGCCTTGTAGGCAACAATACCCACAAAGATTACAATGGGGTCTTATTTATGAAAATCTGAACTACAATATTTCAAGGATACAGCTTTTTTTTTTTTGATGAGGGTTTTATTCCAAGTGCAAATATTATGAAATTTTCTAAAAAAAAAAAAAGAAGATGCATTCTTAAAATATATATATATTTTTTTTTTTAAAGCTTTTGTGAATTAGGCCCTAGTCTACTGGAAGGCAAAAACACCTAGTCTACTGGAAGGCAAAAACACCTCTTTTCTTTCCACTGGTATTCAAATCAACATGCAGAAAAAATAACTGAACTCCATATTGGGACAATACAAACTTGTTAAAAACAACAGTACTTCTAGTTAAGGATATAAAGATGGAGGATGATGGATTGTATCTTAACACCTCCTCAACTTGTTTTATTTATTCTGACATTTTAACAAGATAATATTATCATGAAGGATGAGTAAGATGATTGTTCGGATTTAAAGATACTCCATTACATCGTATTGTCACTCATTATAGTAACTTGCAGCTACAGATATATCAAATCACTGGCATATTAAAATTCTTCAATCAGTTGTTACATATGTACTCTTTACCATGGGAACCAAGGTGGCTGAGTGAGTTTTTTGCTACCTCACTGGCTGCAGATGGAGGGCCTGGCAAGGTAATGCTTTTAGTCACTGGGAATTCCGGTTTGATATGTGGTATGCTCATAAAAAAACCTTGACAGTTGGAATTTGATGGAAATGCTACTGTCCGAGCAAAATTGCGATCATATCACACTGCATGGCCATCTTCATTAGATTAGTGGAGAAAAGTAGCATGTTAAACATACATTATGCAAGAGCTAAATCTGCCTATTGTAGGTCTTTATTCAGACCTGAAATGTTATCTAAATTATTAATGAACTTATCCAGACCATAATCAACTCTCGATGTCATCGCAAGCCTGCGATATTTACTGGATTTGTCGCTCAACTTTGATTCATGATTAAATCATGAAATGGATAATCGAGACTATGTTTTTATCGTACTGACTTTAGTAAGGATGATCAAGGCTAGGTTGAAAATTAAATCGCTAAATTCTCGGTTTAGAGTGGATCAATTTGACTGCAATTTTCAGCATATGCACTTTACATTATCTATTTTTTAAACTATTTTAGTGAGAACTGACAGCTCTTTATCTAATCTCCCATAATGTATCTTTAAACTCCATTTTATTTCACGCTTTTTTCTCAGTTCAAATATCAATTCAATATATCTTCATCTATATCAAGTGCTTTTTTTGATCATATTTGTGGCTTTTTGCTAGATGACGAATTTACCACAATAAGGCAATTTATCTGCCATAAAATCAAACATTTTAAAGAATAATACTTTAATTCCCACTCTACTAATAACAAACGGGTACATAAACTATATAAGATTTTTGTCCATCATCAGTCAACACAATAAATTTGACAGACAGGCAAGACTTTGAAGTGAAAGCTTTCCTGTCAATGTGGATTATAATCGAAATTTAATTTGTCAAGTCTGAAGAAGCCCTAGTAAAATCGAACTACAGGTGCTAGTAAACTAGATATTCTCCTTCACATAACTATAACATAATAACAAAACCACATGTCTATTAAAAATGATAATCATATTAATCCAAGGTCAACTCTAGAATAAAACTAATGATAATCTTCCCCTGAACCATAACACTTTAATTCCAAACAATAAGACACTGCAACACCATTTAATACAACATGTATAGCTTTAATAAGGCTACCATTTAATAACATCCATATACTTATATATAACTGTCACACATGCTCAGTATATTTTTATTCTTACCTTGCTGATGATATAAGTAGATTTATGGATGTATCTTGTAGATAATATAACCTTTCACTAACTACTACCCCTTGTCTATGATAATACAGTTAATAGTAGACTACATGTGACATACATACACGCCTTTAATATAACAAGTTGTTTTTCCCATCAACAATAGTACATGCAGGAGGACCACACCACAGCATACAACACATTAACAAAACACCTATAAAACAAACCTGCAGACAAGACACACAAACTTTGACAGTATTAAACAAAAGTAGATTGATCCTGGTGTCAACCGTAAATGTATCTATGATGTAATGTCCCAATAGGGAAGTTCTGATAACTTATTACCTTATTGTTCGTTTTTATATAGCTATCTCAGAAATTGTGATAACTTGATATGTAATTGTTTGATTTTATATAGTAATCTCAGAAATTCTGATAACTTATCTAATTGTTTGTTTTTATTTAGTAATCTCAGAAATTCTGATAACTTGGTACAGTATCTAATTGTTTGTTTTTATTTAGCATTCTCATACTAGACAGTCTACTTTTACTTTTCTATATTCCTCTTACAGACTCTGTAGTATTTTGTATACTTCAGGTTAATAACATATTTTTTGTGAAAAAATTATCCCAATGTATTATATATATCTTACGGTGACTGATTTAGGAGATACTAAGTCGAGTGCTTGAGATAATATAACCGAACACGTCTCAACCGATGTTTTAAGCTGTATAATTTTGTGCATATTTGATGATATGCATGCAGAATAAAGATATTCATTTGTTCGTTTTTACAGCCGATCCAAAGCCCCCCCCACCCCCCAAATAAGACAACAAATGAAGAAATAAGATTTAAGGACTATCAATTAAGAACTAAGAATTAAGAACACTGAATAAAGAGCTGTTTGGCCTTCCATATATATAGAGCCAAATAACACACTGAATAAGAATAAGATTACTTTTTACTATCACGCACCAAATACCAAATAAATGATATCTCAAGTAATTTCCATAAATATTACCTCTAGAGTGTGTGAATATTACATAAGCTGACAGACTAAAGATCACCTTTAAAAATGGGTGTCTAAAGACATTCATTAAAAAATATATCTTACACAATTCATTACCTTTGTTATGAATTATTTCCTTTATTTCCTTGTGGGAAAACCATGCGGCCGACAAGTGCTCTTCTATAATGTTTTGTTTTTATGTTTACTGTGAACTAATTGTGTAAAATAAGAACATTTGGCAGGCCTGTAAGGCATGTTTTATTATAAAGTGTACCAGAGGGTATTTAACAAATGTCATGGGTTTTTTTAGTAAAGGAAAAGAGTTTTTACGTTTTTTTTCTTATCTTCAAAATCAGCATATATTGAACATATAAAATACTTAATATCAGGTTTATTGATGTACTTTTTGATTAAAATAAACTACATCATTTAAGACAGACATTTTTCTCATCATATTTTTACCAAGATTTTAGAATATTTTGAAATAACATTTATTTCAATTTGTTTTTGCATAATTATAATGGTTAGTGTTTTCTTTAAAACAGACTTAAAAATATACTGATGAAAAAAAAAAAAAAGATCTGAAAATTAATTTGTTCAAACCCCAGTGAAGGTCTGTTCATCCACTACATTAATCAAGTGGTCTTATATTTGTCTTGTTAAATTTGTATTTTTATGTCACATGGAAATAAATTTGTCCCTTTCTGGAATGGCTGTTTTTGTTTTAGTGTATGCCATTTAAAAAATGGCAGGAGATTGGTTTGGATGCTATATAAATTGCTAACATTTCATTGAATTTGTGTCGGCCCAGTTTTAGTGAAATGTTAGTTTAATATTTTATGTGTAGTCTTGATCTTACACACAGTTGACGGGTAATGTGACACAGGTAGACCATCATTTATTCCATTTTTACAGTTGTCTGTCCAAAAATGTTACATTAGCCCTCTGGATACTAATCTGGCTTTCGAGAAATTTATCACTTTCTTTACAGTGTGTAGAAAAGACAGTGGCTATCCGATTTCTGATGCATAAACATGGTGGCTGGTATTCTTGTCTTCTTTATCTTGTATATACAAAGTCTAGATCAGTAACTACTTACATTAACGCTATAAAGAAATTTTCTTCAAATTGTAGTTCTAATGTTACAAACTTGCCAGAAAGTCTGTCCTCATGTTGAGTTAGCAATACAGTTAATTTTTAAATCAATAATAAATTCGTATAACATATCCCATGAAACTTCAGATAATGTATAATTACATCAATGTTTTGAAGAAAATTATTCATATATCTTAGCAATATTTAATATCTAAAAGGAAAATAAATTTTCTATATGCCTATCAAATTCAAAAGATACATTTTATGTTTCCTAAAATGGTAAATTTTACTGTCTATGATGCAATAATAATAGCATCTTCTTTCATTTAACATAATACATATTCTACTTATATAGATTGCATGTTGGCTGTCTGCATTTAATAGAATATGAAACATACATGTAAATCAATAAAAAGTAATCAACATGAGAATATTTAATCTGATTAATTTCTGTGAATAAAAAAGTAAGTAACAGGTAGTCTGTATATCATTTTAATGTCTCGGCTAAATAAAACAGAGAGAGAGAAATGGGGTTTAACGTCAACTCGACACAAAAACTAGGTCATTTCGGGACTAACATGTGGTTCAATTTTATTTTAATAATTTGATTGCGTGTACTGGTCTTTAGTAGTGGGAGGAAACCGGAGGCTACAAGGTTAAATTAAACACAGAATTCATGTAGTATTGTAAATGAAATGGGGTTTACCGTCAAGCCTGGAAATAAGGCACCTGTCACAAGACAATATCAGATTCAGGCTTTGTCAGGCACTAAACCTCTAGTACCTGTCATTTTGTCCGGAACTGATATGTCTATATCCTGAAAAGTTGGATGTTTGAATGAAGATGTCTGGATAGAATCATACTCCTCACAGTGTTTCATTTGATTAGACCTAATCCTACTTAACACTGCAA